TTGCTTTTAGTTAGCAGTTAGCATTAGCAGCACATCCTGCGTCTGATGTGAAAGGACCTTTATGCTGCACACTGTGACTCACAGCCATGGTCCCGGTCAGCCCTGACTTTGTGTTAAACTAATCCTAAAGTAATAATGTATTTATAACCACTGATATAGCACAACTTTATCCTTTCAACAGCTGCTGGAAGTTAGGGGACCCAGCTGCTACCCTTCAAGGACCTGCAGTTCAAAAAAAGCGCCCCTCCGACAGCCAAACCCATCTGTTCTCTGATTGGATTGTTACATTTGTGATTGACATGACATTGACCAATCAGATGAAAGGAAGAAAAATAGGGTCAAAATTTGTACTTGTAACTTGCAGGGTTTTTTGGGGCTAAGTCCACACACAAATCTTTTTTACACATACAAATCCTGATTTACAAGTACAAAATATTTATGACCACATTTTGAGCCCATAGAGTTTGTCTCCAAACAAACAACATCCTGTACATGGACACATTGATCAAAGAAAGTATGGAAATAAAGTATAAGCACATCTAAATATGGAACTGTTTGTCAAACATGATTTGGACACAAATTGGGGAATAATTGGCGTTTCAAATTTACATTATGAACGAACGAGCTTCAGGTGAACTCCCTGTTTTTGTTGAACTTGTACATTCAATAGAACAGCTCGCATCAGACTATTTTTCTGTACTGCACTCTATGTTTTTGCCCAGTGTTTGGGTTCTAAGTAGGTTTTAAAAAACCTAAATCAACATCTTTTTAGTCTAAAGAAGTTCAGGAAATCCTTTTAACTGTATGACCTGACATCTTAGACACCACAAAAGACAACACAATACATGCTTTAAAGGATGGAGCAGTTCCCATAGTCAGGTGGGAAACAGGAGGGGTTTGGCTCTTAATTATATTACAGTGACCCTATGACAGCAGTGTAGGTGAGGTCCCCAACCCTGTCCCCACTGGGCGGTGCTGCCTGGCTGTCCCCGACACCCAGAGGTACCACAAAAGTAAAAGTCTAATGGAGCGTTTTCTGCTGTGCGGTGTGAGTCTGTTCTACACACTCCACGGCATGAAGGTTTGTTCTCTTCATGTAATCAGTCAGAGTGCAACAAATTAGTGCAATAAGTTGAACATTAAATATCTATATCATTCCTTTAAATGAACCGAGCTCCTTGAAATCTGCTGCAGGTGAGCCACTGATCACTGCACTAATTACAGCATAAAATGCACTTTGTGTCAAAATACTCATGAAGCTTAATGTTTTATTGGATGATGATAAGGTGTAAATGAGGACACTTACTCTCTGCCAGAGACGAGAACAGCATGCAGCTGAGTGAAAACAGGACCAGCAGCCCCCCTCGGGGGCGATGGGACCCTGCTAGGTGAATATTACACACCATGTTACAAAATGTTTCTGCTCAGTCCCCTGCTGGCCACGTCCCAATATGTCAAGGTCAAAGACAAACACCTGAGACAGCAAACACATACAGAAGAGAGGTACACAGACATCAGCAAACAAACTTACCACATCTCTGCACACAGGCTGCTCAAAACATTAATGGAGGAGCCAGAGAGTTGATTCTGTTCTAACTTCTATTCTGTTTGTTGTGTTTTCAGTGGGAGAAACATTTAATTTACCTATGTGACTTCTTCAGCCTTAGAGACTGAAAATGCAACATCAATTTGCAAAGAATCATCTTTCTCTGCTTTCCTTCCCTCTGTGACTGAGCATGTGTCAGGACACTGAGGCAAGCATCAGCTCAGAGACATAAACCACTATGAATCCATTTCAGCTGCATTGGTGCAAATTAGGGCAACAACATGTATACT